GGCAGGAGACAACTGGTAAGAAAGATTCAGTTTTTATGTTATTGTTTAGAAAAACAATTAAACTTTAGAAAAACGTTAAACTTACATACTTTGTAAAAAAAAATAAATAAATAAATTTCACACACTAAAAAAATCATTATCTCTGAAAAATATTCTAAATGTAACAAAAAGAGTAGAAAGTAAAGCTCTGTCAGTTATTCTGAGTCAGACAGCACAGCTGAGGTTGCTTATCAATAGCAGGCACCAGGGACAAGCTGCAAAGCACGTAAGATTTGTTGGAGGAAAGCGCTTTCCACGTGCTTTTAGATGCATAGGCCTAAGACTGAAAGCCATTAAAGCATTAAAGCCATTTAACGAGAGTGCTTAAGCAATTGCTAATGAGACGAGCAACACAAGGCCCAGAAGCAGCAGAGCTTTTATTATGCCACAATCCACTGCTTCAGGTCTGTGGCATTGAAGCAGTCAGTAGGTATAGTCTCTGTGCTCAACTTGCAGATCTCATGCAAACATCCACATTGCAATAATCTCATGCTTTCTGATTTTACCCTTGTCAACTGTTTACTAACAAGATATTTGTGTTTTCGGTTTCAATTTAAGAAAATAAAAGTTGAACTTTTATTAAATTAAACATCTATTGGTGTATATTGGGTCAATAACAGATGCCTCAGCAATACTTTTACACCTGTAAATCAACTAAAGCGTCCTGTACACGAATAGTTGATCTTACAACCTTTTACTTTATGATAGCGGAACATTAAAGGGCTATTGTGAAGAAACGGCACTCTACACCACAGCTACAGCATGACATTATAAAGGGGCTAATCACTACTGAATAACCTGAACAATAAAAACAATGATTGCCAATCACAATGCACACAATTTGAGCAGAAGACATACAATCAGTGTGTGCTTGTAATAAACCATTCTAATGTAATGGGGTTAGATTCAGTGTGGGGGCGTGCGAGAGACCTGAAGAGTGGGAAGCAACATCAACAGCCTGAGGTATCAAGACATTTGTGCTGCTTTTTACATTACAAACCACAGGAGAAGGCAAATTCTTTAGTAGGATAGCACTCCTCATACTTCTGCCTTCACATCAAAGTTCCTAAAAAAATAAGATCAAGGTGCTCCAGGATTGGCCAGCCCAGTCACCAGACATTAACATTAGTAAGCATGTCTGGGGTAAGAAGGAGGAGGCATTGAAGATGAATCTAAAGATCTTGATGAACTCTTGGAGCTGCAAGAACACTTTCTTTGCCATTGCAGATGCCTTTATTAATTAGTGATTTGAGTCATTGCAGAGATGTATGCAGTCGTCCAAGATCATGGGAGTCATACACAATATTAACTCTTTTTCCACTGCACCATGACATTATATTATATACTGGACATTATTTCTGTTAAATGACAAGCCTTTTGTCGAAGCAAAGTTAAGATAGGCAACAAGACTTTTGTCAGGTAATGTATTGATCCTGAAACATTTTCTTTGATAGAACTGAATGTGCAATAAACACATTTTAAATCCACAATTTATTCAACCCCAACCCTCTCCCCCACCTCCAACATTTTAATCAAAACAAAAACTCTATTCTACAAGGACGGTTCAATGTCGAGCACAAAGGAATCAGCTAACCCTGAATGATTCTCCAAGCGTTAAAGCACCCCTCAATGCCAACAACAAATGGCTTCAATAGACTCTCAACACTTTATGGATGACTCTTTTTGAAAAGCAAAGTACTTACATGACACTTTTACTAAAGAGATATTGTGCGCATACATTGCAGGGCTTGTTCAACCAAAAAAATCTGTTAATTAACTCACCCCCAAGCCATCCAGATGTAGGTGATTTATTTCTCCAGTAGAACATTCCTTACAAACATATCTGTCACGTGTTCGCAGACCACTGTAATCTAGACGCGAGTCCAGCTGTGCTCTCATAGCGGGGAATTAAAAACAAAACTTTTGTTGCAGCACATTTATAAAGGCAACACTGACAACCCATGTCTCCTAATAATTCTTCTTCCACTTGTTTTTAATTATGATTGGCAATACAAAGTGGCATCACTGGCGTCACACACTGCTGTCTGAACACTGTAACAGGTAAAAACAAAGGTCTTCAAAGCTATATCATGCACATTAATGAAGTTGCACCTCATATACAATAGAGCGCGATGATTGGTTTGAACCAAGTCTTTCTCTTTCTCATGAATTAATGATGAAAACGCACGTCACATTGTACCCACTGGTACAAACATCCAGTCTACACGCTGGAATTTACACAAGGATCCAATCGCTGTGATGTAGCTTAAAATTTCTTTTCAAACTAGAAGAACGGATTTGCCACAAAAGTGGCAAGTACCACAAGTACCACAAAAAACAACCAATTTTTACATTTTTGTTTGTCCTAATAGTGTTTTTAGCAGCACGGGAAATATACAGTGCATCTGGAAAGTATTCATAGCGCTTCACTTTTTACACATTTTTTTGTGTTACAGCCTAATTCCAAAATTGGTTAAATTAATTTATTTCCTTAAAATTCTACACACAGTACCCCATAATGACAATTTTTTTAAATTGTTGCGAACGTATAAAAATCACATGTACATATGTATTCACAGCCTTTGCCGTGAAGCTCTAAATTGAGCTCGGGTACATTCTGTTTCCACTGATCATTCTTGAGATGTTTCAGCAGCTTCATTGGAGTTCACCTGTGGTAAATTCAGCTGATTGAACATGATTTGAAAAAGCATACACCTGTCTATATAAGTTCCCAGGGTTGACAGTGCATGTCAAAGCACAAACCAAGCATGAAGACAAAGGAACTGTCTGTGGACCTCCGAGACAGAATGGTCTCGAGGATCAAGGCTGGGGAAGGTTACATAAAAAATTTCTGCTGCTGTGAAAGTACAATGAGCACAGTGACCTCCATCATCCGTAAGTAGATGTTTGGAACCACCAGGACTCTTCCTAGAGCTGGCAGGCCATCTTAGCTGAGTGATCGGGGGAGAAGGGCCTTAGTCAGGGAGGTAATCAAAACGATGGTCACTCTAAGTTCCAGCGTTCTCCTGTGAAGAGAGGAGAACCTTACAGAAGGACAACCAGCTGTGCAGCAACTCACCAATGAATGTCCTTGAATGGTATGGTGGCCAGATGGAAGCCACTCCCTGTCTGGAATTTGCCAAAAGACATCGAAAGGACTCTCAGACCATGAAAAACAAAATTCTCTGGTATGATGAGACTAAAATTTAACTCTTTTGAGTGAACGCCAGACGTTACGTTTGGAGAAAACCAGGCACCGCTCATCACCAGGCTAATACATCCCTAAAGTGATGCATGGTGGTGGCAGCATCATGCTGTGGGGTTGTTTTTCAGCAGCAGGCACTGAAAGACTAGTCAGGATAGAGGAAAAGATGAATGCAGCAATGTACAGAGACATCCTGAATGATCCTGCTTTTGAGTGCATTTGACCTCAGACTGAGGCGAAGGTTCATCTTTCAGCAGGACAATAACCCAAAGAACAACGCCAAAATATCAATGAAGTGGCTTCACAACAACTCTGTGAATGTCCTAGAATGGCCCAGCCAAAGCCCAGACCTAAATTCTATTGAATATCTCTGGAGAGACCTGAAAATGGCTGTACAAAGTTGCTTCCCATATAACCTGACAGAAATAGGCAAAAAATCCCAAAGACAGGTGTGCCAAGCTTGTGGCATCATATTCAAAAAGACTGTAATTGATGCCAAAAGGTGCATCAACAAAGTATTAAGCAAAGGCTGTGAATACGCAAGTACATTTGACTTTTCAGGTTTTTTATTTTTTATAAATTTGCCACACTTTCAAAAACTCTTTACATTGTCATTAGGAGTATTGTGTATAGAATTGAGAAAATAAATTAATTTAATCCATTTTGGAATAAGGCTGTAATAAAAAAAAAAGTGGAAAAAGTGAAGCGCTATGAATACTTTCCGCATGCACTCGACATGACAGTTAACATCTCAAAAAATGTGTTTTAATGTTTCGTGACCCTTAAAAAAAGATTTATAGCTGAAACTGTTGTCCTCTGGTATCCCTATAATGATAGAGGATGCCTGCCATCAGCTAGAGATAAAAACACAATCATATTTCTACCAGCGGCTCCTGATGATGTACTAAGGTCTTATGAAGCAAAGTGATCACTCAAACTGAACATTGTTTACTTTTTTACTGTTACGCTGAAGAAAAAAAGGTCTTTGATTGCCTAAGGAAAAGCAAACTAACTGGAAGGTTTTGGGCACACTATCCCTTTAATGGGCAGAGAGCATGAGAAAGGTCAACTGCCCAGGCTGGAGAAGTTTGACTATTTCTAGAGAGCGCAGTAACAGGTGAGAGACAGACAGATGCCGAAATCACATGCTTAATGAAACCAGTTTAAACCACCAGAATAAATCAACTGACAAACACACTTCCTGGACGATAATCCACTTGAGGTGAGGAAATCAAAAAGGGTGTGTGTTGTGTGTCACCAGCTGTGGTTGGGGGACCGCAGGGCATATTTGAGTCAACTGGGTCTGCGGTTACAACAGATAGCTGAGGCAGCACAAACTATGTCTCTTTTATACACACTACTACATGTCTCAACTCTTCCATCAGCCTTTCAGCAGCTTGACACCATGTGGGAACATCGAGATGACATATCCAGCGCTCCTGGCCTCAGTAATTCATCTCCATACTTAAGACTTGTGACACATGCGCACACACACGTTGGGTTTCCATGTTTAGGGGAGCTTCTTATAAATGTAATGATTTTTGTACTGTATAAACTGCATATTCTGTCCTCTAATCCACAACATTCTCCATTTTAAAGCATTTATGATTCAATAGGTAGAATTTATGAGTGGTTTTAGGGGTTGGGGTGTAAAAAGAAAATTCCCTATCAAGTCAAAAATGGACTCTTGGTCCCCACAATGTATTCAAAACCAGTATCACACACTCAAAACAACATGATTCCTATTAAACCAGTATTCGTGACACATTTTACAAAAAAAGTTTATTGAATTATTAACAACTGTACATGATCAGTGCTGACACAGTTTTGCTACATACTTTGGTGTGAAGTTGAGAGGTTGTGAAAGGCAGGCGGGTCATGTTTTGTTTTCCTTGTGTGTGTCATATTAAAGACTGAGTTCGCCATGACCGGTTCTGCAGACACCAGTTTCAACAGTTACACAAAAAGGGGTAGGCCAGGATTAGGTTAAAAAAGTGACGATCTCCTCCCTCTCTCGTGTGCCCACACTTTCACACCGAGCTTCCACCAAAGTCAAGTGCAGGCAATGAATAGATTCATTAGAAAACTTGCTCAACTTGTACAGAAGCGAATCCCGATGACTCGGATCACTCAGAGAAGCTGGTTCACGTCAATCTGAGGCCAAAAACAGGCTCTTTAGGGGTGGCGATCTCTACAGCAGAAGTAAGCCGTCAATCACTGGGGTGAGTCATCTCCCATTTCAACAGCAGCCAACTATAGTGGAGCCGCTTATGGGATCGGTTGGCAAGATACTCATCGCAGTGTGTGATCTACGCCGAGTCAGCATGTTACAATCACACTTCATTATCTGAATTCCTCTTTCCGACGAGATGCCACACAAAGCAAAGGGCACAGACAAGTAGTACAGTTAGTCACTCTCCCAGTTTAATACCGCTTCTGATTTACATACGACCCTTCATTCATGGGCTGCTTCGTATTTAGACTTCCGCAGGATTCCAGTTTGATCCGGTTTTCCATGAACAGCACATGGGCTCCAAAAACAAAATAAGAATTACAAAAAAATGATTCAGGAAGAAACAGGAAGGTTTTTCCCCCCTCCACTTGAGCCTTTTAGGAAATGGCCAGCCCAGAGAGTGTGCAACCAAATTCAAAAGAAAATGTGTCCTACTCTACATTCATCAAGCATTAAGGACATGAGGACAAAGAAACCCATCACAAGTATATCAGGACATGGAAATATATATAATTATATATATTTATAAAATGTCTTTATTACTCCATATATACACTTTTTAACAAATTGTCCAGGGAGCAGGAGGCTAAAACTGAAGCACTGCTTCATATTACATCACAGATCATTCACTGTTGGTTAAAAGGAAGGCGGTTGGGGGGGGAATACTATGGAAGGAATAGGCACACACAATCCCATGAGCAGACCGAAAGCAAAGGCAAGACAATATTTACTACATTAGTGCCGTCAGGGAGTCCTTGGGACAGTTTAACACGTTTCCATGTGGATTTGTTGAGGATCATTTCACTGCTGTAAGAATCCAGGTGCGATCAAAATAAAAAAGCATCTGGGCTGCAATCCCAGTGAACCAACCGATTCCTAACCTGGGTTCCTACTGTACAGGTGGATGAGTGATCCCTTAAATCCATCAAAACAAATCAGGCCCATCCATAGGTCTTTAGTTCTGGTGAAGCAGCGAGTTTAGTAGATGACTTCATACACCGTGGCCTTCTTGTCACCAGATCCCGTCACAATGTACTTATCATCAGCCGAGATGTCACAGCTCAGGACAGAGGACGACTCCTTGGACTGTAGATGGAAGAAAGATGAAAAATGATTAGCTGACATTATAAACTGTATATGTTTTAAATAAAAAATGCTGATTAACTTAATGCACAAAACTGGAATAATCGCATAAAAGACATGTGAATAAGGCAGCATTTCCATCCAACGAGGCAAAGAGAACAAAATCATCACTTCCTGATAAACTGGCACCAAATATCAACAGTAAAAACGGAATTTGCTGTGGTAGGAGAAGCCGCATCAATCTTTTCCTTATTTAATAAATGACTTGCACAATGAAGAAGAATATGTCGACACGCACTGAAAGTGCCATGGCGTTTGAAAGAGTGAGATGCAGAGCACAGATGCTCTTGTCTATTCTGGAGGTAATTAATAATATAATAACACTAATACTGAAATAGTCAGGTGTTTTAGAAAGACCAAAACAACATTTCAGATGTTTTACAGTTTGCTCAGCCAGCTGGTTTGTCCATTAACACACATTTTATCACATGATCGCTTTTAACAAAATGACATCTTTCTTTTAATGCGCATACTGGAAGTTGTGCGGTAAAAGGGTTTCCATCGTAGTTTGTGCACAACTTTTCTTATCAAATAAAAATTTTATCCTACTCTTATGTGCATGCATCAAAGTTGATGCGCATCTTGGTGTTGACATCAACCATTTTTTATGTGCATATCCAAAATGCACATAAAAATAGATGGATGGAAAAGTAGCTAGTGACATGAAGTTCATGTCAACGTCATTCCCTTCTAAACTGCAGCATTTAAGTCACTCTCAGAGGCAAATACAGGTGTGTTATAAATAGACAGTTGTGAATGTATGCGAGTGTCGCGGCAGCATGTCAGCTAGATTTCTCCTTGTATTAAACTGTGCTAACTGCATTAGTTAGATTGAAAGATAGCTGGAATGTGTGAAATGTGCAGAAAAAAACAAGAATTGTTGTAAAGCTTTTAAAAGATTCAATTCAAAGAACTCCACTTGTTTGATGCAATGAATAAATAATTTCACGAACGTTACAAATAATGTTTTTATTCCAATAAAGAATGAAACGTCATCTGTGTGTACAGAATGAATTTATTATTATTTAATTTTTGTATTTTCTACACTAAATTTTTAGACTGTATTCCAAAAAACATGCTTTTAATTAACTTTTTTCATTTATTTTTACTATGTACAAATTAAACTTTAAAAAAATGCAGCATGTTAAAGCATTTACTTCATCAACAATACATTTCAGTTTTTAACAAAAACAATGGTCAGTTTTCATTTTAGTTTGTCGTTTACTATTATTGAAACTTGTCATTGCTTGTCATTGTTTGTATGTTTTATTATGAAAGTTTATTGACAAGAAAGTTAATTCATTTATTCAAAAAATTTATTCAACTTGAAGGTGTTTGTCAACAAAAAAGCTGCACCTCCACAGAGAAAATAAAAAAAAAATATTCAAAGAGTCTGGGATACAAGCCTCAATGAAAAGCCTGAACAGAAAATTTCACACTACAAATCAAACAAACATTCCCAATGTAACATGAACTTCTGGAGAGGGAATACAGTATTGACTGACATACCTGGAAAATGCTGGCACCATAGGGAGTCCTCCAGGCATTCAAGAGATTGTCCTTCCCAGTGCTCACAAACCATTTACCTTTAGGAAATGGAACAAACACATATGCACTAATGGGTACAGAGTCAAGGTTGATCTGAATGACTTGATTCACTACAACTCGACTTTTTTGGAAGTAAAGTGAGCCATTAAGAGAGAGAGAGAGAGAGAGAGAGAGAGAGAGAGAGAGAGAGAGAGAGAGAGAGAGAGAGAGAGAGAGGGGGGGGGGTGTACAAAGTGCAACCTTGCCAAACTAAAATGGAAAAACACCACTGAATACAAAGCTAAAGCTGAAGTTTGTATGTCATGTTTTGGCCCTATTTTACATTAAGTATAAGGTTTCTTCCCTCATTTATTCTCAGGTGCAAGATGTTGCACTTTATGTAAGGTAAAGTAACAGCGTCTTACCACAGTAAGCAAATTTGAGGGAGAGGACACAGCTCTCGTGCAGGTGCAGCTGGTACTTGTCAGGCTTGGTGTGATGAAGCACCTCCACATTACTGCTCTCCATTCCCACAGCCAGCCACTCGCCCGTCGGACAGTAGCCCAGAGAGAAGATCTAAGACAAAAAAATAAATAAATGAACAAATGCCACATGCCCATCTAAAGCATGAAGCTTGTGGAGTGTTTATTATAACCAAAAAATTGGGTTTTGCTGGTGGCTGTTGATGATTCAAAATTAAAAAAGTCATATTGCGGCTAACATGTCAGTTCATGACAAGTCATGCATTTTCACACAAAACCTGTCATAAAGCACTGAAGCTGTGAATGAGTCTCTTCATCTTTCATCGTGAAGTGCAGATAAGATGTGAAAGTTTACAAACTGCACAATTTTCATCCATGACTAATTTTAAAGCTTATTTATTTATTTTTATTTAATGACATTGAATAAGGATTAACAAGATAATAAGGAATAAGGAATAACAAGACTTTAAAAGAAACTCACTCAAGATGAAAACCCTAAATCGTGGATAAATATTTAAAACTATTTCACCCATTTATTATCAAAGTTTTTCCACATACTTGTGCTACAATTTCAATTACAAGTGCATTTTTAAGGTGTATAAGTGTGCATTAAGATAACCTGTGATGTGAAGTCATGCTGCTGAAGCTGGCGACCCTCTCTCAGGTCCCAGGACCGTACAGTGTTGTCCAGTCCACCTGTCCACAGTTTGGTGCCATCATGGGAAATATCTATACAACTCGCCCCATCTGTGTGACCCTGGAACTGCCTACAAACACAAACAATCATGCAGTCTTTTATTGCATTAGCAGAACACACATACGTTTGCATACATCGCAGAGACAATTTTTGCACATGGCAACACCCATTTGATTCCTACCTCACAAGGGTTTGGTTATGAAGGTCCCAGACGGCAATATTTCCATCACTGCAGCAGGAGAAGCAGACCTTGGCATCAGGGCTGATCGCCAGCGCATAACAAGCCGGGGCAGAAGAGGTGAGCTCTGCTTTGATACGAGGAGTCTGAGAGGCCAAATCCCATATGGTCAGAGTGCTGGCTTCCCCTCCAACAATCAGAGTACGGCCATCCGGAAGCAGCTTACAGGAACGGATATAGTTATCCCTGTTCTGAAGAGAGAAGAGGGGAATGTTTTTTTAAAAAACATTTTCAATAATAATTTGTATTTTAGATACAGTTTACATTTTCATGGCAATCTCTGAATAAATTACAAAAGCTTTTGACCTTGTTGTTGTTATATGAGCAGGGACAAATATTGGAATCTTTTTGGCTCGAGACTTTTTAGAGGTTAAAAACTGCTCGTTATGCTGCCTCATGTTGCAAACTGATGCTTTATTATTATATTATTCAACTTTTTATGGATAGTCATAAACACACTTGATTGGAGAGCAAGTACTTTGACCGTTTTCTGCTGTTTAACATTCCCAGTATATTTTGCCCATAGGCAACTGAGTAGGCGAATTGGTATGAGATTCCAATGGTACTGTATGATAACCTTGGATTAAAAATATCCCGTTTTCAGTGTTGTGATCACTGCTCTAAAACATATTTTTTGCGTGTCTGGGTAAAAAAAACTAAAAACTTTTTTTTCCCTTTGAACACAAAATATTTTTGCTACAAAAATTCCAAGACTTTTTCAGGACTTTCAAGTCATTTTTCAAGACCTTATGTTTCATGTGATGTCTACATTACATGTGTGGTAAATCATAAAAAATGTTTAAACTTATTACAGCATATCATAAAACACGTAATAGTTTCAATTTATTTTTATATCCATGTAAAATAGATGATGCTTACACAGCATTAATATTATGAGAGCATGTTTTGGCCAAGAAAAGAAAAGTAAAAACAACTAACCTCAATTCCGATATACAGATATTTGACAATCTACTTTGGAATAATCAGAATAGTTTGTTAAACTAGTAATTGTAGAAAGTAAAAGCTTGGTGAATTCTTACCTGCGAAATCACATCAGGTGATAGCGTAAGACCAATAGAAGATAATTTAAAAAAGGAAACTTAAAATTTGGAGCAATCGCTGACTTTTATTACTGTTTAATCAAACTGTTTAACCCTGCCCCTTTTCACAAAGCTGTACAACAGAATTTTCCAAGTACAAGCTCTAGTGTGACCACAGCTTACGTCACTTTAAACAAAAATGTCTGCTACATGACTAAATGTAAATGTAACTTCCATGACTATTCCAAAACTTTGTGGGTTTTTCTGTTTTTCCAAAACTTTTCCAGGCCTGGAAAATGCCTTGTATAAATTCCATGACTTTTCCAGGTTTTCCATGACCATATGAACCCTAATAATAATTTATTTTGAGGAAGATTTATAATATTGAGGAACAGTAAACATATCAGGCTAAACACCTTAAATGAATCATTGACTTCTGCTCTCTTCATTAGTTTCAAAACACAGATTTCTTTACAATTTAAAACAGCATTTTTGCATATCTTTTCTGCTGGAGATACTGTTATATCTTGCACCATAGGAATGCTATAGCTATAGAATCTGGGCTGTTTTAAACATTGACTTTTCAAAAACCGTGGTATACCTTGAAAACAGTTATCTTCCCATGCCTACAACAGAATCCAAAGTTCTAAAACAATCGCAAAAATGAACGCACTTCCACATTGCAGAATAAGGTCAATGCAATTATCAAAAAGTTCGTCATGATCATAAAACATGTTAAGGTGACACATTTTTAAATAAATATGTAAAACAAACATTTAAGATTAGTCTATTTAGATTAAAAAAGTGCAGTGCAATAAAAATGTTTTGCATTGCGAAAGAAAAGAAAATACCCCTCAGTAATCAGGCTGAAGAGGTAAACCAATCAAAATGGCAGGGCTGAAAAGCAGCAGTTCAGCTCCCTGTTATTTGCTCTTGCTCTCTAAATCCTGTCTAACCTGTGTTTATGAAAGTTAATCGAGGAGTAGAGGCAGCCGATAAGAGGGCACCGAATGCTAAGTGGGCAGGGAAAAGCTTTTAGGGGGTTTTTAGTTGCAGCACCAGGACGAAGCACATTTTCAAATTAGCAGGAGAATTCTAGATCTGTTCCTGAGGGAGATCAATAACTCTGAGCTTTCAGACAAATTAAATCACTTTATAATGGCTGAACAGCTCATCAAATACACAGCTTTCTGCACTATGGAGTAAACACTGCCTGGGACAGCAAGTTACACAGACTAACGGAGAGCCATCGTGGTATTTTTCACCACTACACATAGCCTGCAGATTGGTTCTTTATTTGGCAGAGAGATTAAAGGAAGGATAAAGATTAAAAATAGAAATGTAAAAAAAAAAAAAAAAATGAAAGAGTGGATTTGTACTTCAGGATAATTCAGATATAAGCCTGGTAATTTGTGTGGACTGATTAGACATCATCAGGGTTTTTTTTTTACCAGGCAGTCGAGTTGTGAGACGGGACTCTTGCTGCCGGGTTGACTGATATCCCAGATCTTCACACAGCCCTTGCCACCAGTGTAAACATGCCGTGTGGGGTTGCTGATGGTCACAGCGCACACAACCTCTCCGTGGCTCAGTGTGTTGATCTGGCGAGCGTGACGGGGAATTCCTGGACCAATCAGAGCGTCAGGAGGAAACGGAACTGGCTGCATCTGGCCATCCGCGCTAACATGGAAGGAGTAGGCCCTATTTAACAGAACATGAACAAATGAGATCAAACACGAAGATTAACCACCAACAAGAAAATCTTTAACATGGCCATTCAAAAGAGTGCGGTTGATTTTTTTGGTTTTACCTAGGTTTCATTTAATTGATCAAAAAGTAAAAACGGATTAATTTTTATTATAATTGCAAAATTTAAATATTTAATTTAATCATTTAAATTTATACATTTTAATATAGCCTAAAACAAATGCTAATAATAATTCATTTTTGTGATTGCAACACTGAATTTGTTAATTTTATATTATGTTTACATTTTTTTTTTTTATTAAATATTTTCCAGATTCTAGGTTAAAAATGATTTTTTGAATGATTTTGCATGGTTGCAGATTCCCAGCACTTACGGTTTTCCTCCAGGGATAGAGGTCAGACTTGCTGGCAGAACGGGTGCACGCATGTGGGGATGAGGATCAAAGCCCGGCTGCAACAAGAGACATCTTAGCATAAGAGAGTGAAGCGTGAAAAATACATAAGCTGCAAAACAAACTGGAACGGATTTGACAGTCTAATTTTTTTTTTCTGCATCAGCTCTATTGTAATATGTTTTTAATATTCTAGTAGAGCACTTGTTCGCACTCCCCTCAAGCCTTTATTAGAAAACCCCAGACAACTGTGTTACTTCCTTTGCCATCAGCGCAAACACAGAGTAGAAGAACAAACGTGGAACAAATGCAAAAGGTAATATTGAACTGGAAAGCTATCCTAACACTGTGAGCATGCAAGTTACAGCAAATTTTTAAGAAGGGTTTTCATTTTAAATGATTACAGTAACAAAGTAAAAAGATACAACAAGCTTTTGCAACATTTTATGCAAATAAAAGTCATGCGAGTCTTACCATATGTGTGCGTCCATAGGCAGCAGCGGCTGCTGCGCTCATCTGAGGAGAAATGTGAAGGCCAGGATAAACACCAGGACTGGTCAATGAGCCGTTCATCTCTGGGTGGTGACCCATCATGAAGGGAGTCCCATATGGTGGTGCAATCGACAATGGTGTACGAAGAGCAGGTGCTGCTGAAAATTTATGAAGAGAAGAAAAGCCCAAGTTTGAATGCAAAAACAAACTTGCAAATTTGTCTAGTTAGCATAGATCAGTGGTTCCCAAACTTTTCAGCCTGCCACCCCCAAAACTGCAATGACAGTGACTTGCAACCACCAAATTTCTTTGAGGTGGTTCTAAATATACAAACATTGCATGCAACATGGCACACACAACAAAAGGCCCAAATCTATTCTTCATTTAATTTTGGAGAACGTCTCTTTAAGACATGGTCTTAAACTCAATTTCTGGAAGGCCACAATGAAGGGGTCACAATGAATGAAAACAAATGAAAGGCTGATGGCTTTTTTTTTTTTAAGCATATTTTTTTATATTCTATAGGCTATGGATAAAATATGGTAATTCTAATGATTTAAATAAATGAATTTGGTTTTTGGAAATCACACCCTACTCATAATTCTCTCTTTATATAGCCATATATGCAAATTACATATCCAAACAAACCGCGCTAACTGGGGAACTGCGCCAGGTTCCGGAACAAAAGTCTAGGTGTAAAGCACCCCTATTCTAAAAGGGTATAACATTTCTTCTAACTTTCTTTTCCTTCAAAAATTAACAATTGGTAAGAATGATGCTTTGTTGGGATTGAGAATCAGGGTTATTTGGGTCACCTTGTGTGTTATTTTATGCAACAAACTGGACATTTAAATATCAGAAGTTTAAAGAATAAAAACAAAATTCTCTTAAAGTTTTCCATAGCTGCATATCTTTATATTCCGTGTATTTACTACTTACTCAGTGCTTCCATGCCAGGTGGTTTTCCGGGATGGGGCCTGAGCCCGGGGGTGTTGCTGGTTCCTGGGGTGGGAGCGTCGTTGCGTGGGGTAGGGGTGTTGGACTTCAAACCTGGGGTGGAGGACTTGTCGTTCTGCGAGATGAAGGAATGGAGATGGAATTAACGGAGCTAAAGCTACATACCACAAATGCTCAAATCCAGAGAGCTCGCTCGCACTAATCCAGTCAAACACTGACAGCTCATTATAGCTGAGAAGGATAAAGCTAAACTTCAGACCGAACCCTTCCCCGAGACCTCATCCTCTCACTCATCTTTAATCACACTCTCTTTTCTCCTGTTCCCTCAGAGGCTAGCTAAGCGCATTGAGATATTAGCCGAGGCTAGCAGCCAAGCCGCTGTTTGTCTGACAGCAGCTGATGTATTCATGTTATGCTTCAAACTGACATCTATGCCGCAGACATATAGCTGCTTAGAGGAAAAGGGTTTGCGAAGACTTGACACCACAAATGTCCATCCTCAATTTTAATGCTTACATGTGGGTGGTCCTTCGCTTTGGAGGATGGGGTGCTCCCAGAGGACGCCACGGAAGCTGGGCTGTTTGGGGCGTCTTTCTTCAGCGCTCTGGCTTTATCCAGACCGTTCTCAGGAGGAGAGTGTGACGGGCTGACTCTTGGAGTAGCTGGATCCTACAGTGTAAATAGGAAAGGTTAGTCACATACATAAGAGAAGTAGATCTCCAAGCTAAACAAAAATAACAAAGATGTTACCTCGTTGGACACATCCACCACCAGATCGTCACTTTTGTCACCATCGCTATCCTATAGTGTATAAACAAGGTAAATCAGAGTATATACAGAAATTAGACAGTGATATTCAATACCTTTTAAGACCTAAGAATCTTTTCATACATTAAGATCTTATAACAGCTTTAGGTTCCAACCGGAAACACTGGCGAGATTTTAACTTGCAGTATATTTACTAAATATTAATTTAAGAAATTAATCCAAAACTAAAACATTATTCATACACCAAATAAAAATCTATTAAATCTAGCTAATTCAGCAGGTTGAAGCCTAAAGAACTATAGAACTACACAGCATCCTGATATTTGCAGACTTAATTCAGGCAAACTTTAACATACAACTTTATATTGCATAAACATAGAAAATTGAATACCTTGCAAAAGAGCATTTAAGACCTTAATACTTTTTAAGGGCCTTAAATTTGTCTACATTGATTTATAAACTTTTAATACTTTAAGACCACGCAGACATCCTGGTAAATACTTGAGTGTTTCAAGAAATTTAGGAGAGTTCAAGTAAAATTTGTATTATAGAAACATTATCTACGTTCATGTTAAAATGTTATTGGTTGGTTAAGGCTGCATTTATTTGATCCAAAATGAAGGAAAAACAGAGGTATTATATAATACTACTAATCACAATGTAAACCAGCCATTTTCCGTGTTAATATTTTTAAAAGTCGTTTATTTCTGCTACGAAGTATCATTTTTAGTAGGTGTTAGTCTAGGTTTCAACATCAGATGGTCCTTCAGATAACATTCAAATATTATAAATCACAATAACGCAATAACAAAATTCACTTGCAGCTAGTTTCATCATGTGGCCTTACATATCGGCTCATGTTGTCCTTCTCCTCCACTCTACGCTTCTTTGGATCCAGACTGTATTCAGAAGAGCCTCTATGTTTCTCACTGGCCCTCAGGCTGTCTGACGGTGATACGGAATTATTCTGCAGAGAAAAAAACAACACACTGATAAGTGCAAATCACAAATAAAAGCTCATCGTTGTGCATTTGCTGACACTACAAAACCCCTTAATATCTCCCTTAAAAAAGCACTTCATTTAAAGATATATGCAATTCCACTTAGCTCTAATCAATAATTCAGAACTCATCCTTCAAAGCTGTCTTAAGAAACACAAACCGATAGAGTCCCCCTGAACACCATGAAGCACAAATTTATACACCGTAAGAGCCTCTTCTTCTGTATAAAGTAGCAGGCACTTTAGGTTTAGCTCATTAGCTGCAGACAGTCAGCTATGCTCAGGACGGCCTGGGCTCTCTCGCCAGCACAAATACAAATATCAGAGGCGACATGGGGCCACCGGTGGCTTTGAGTGAGCCATGTGTGTAAATTCCTCTCTCGTACAAGATAAACACAGAAAAGCGAGGGGGTTAAGCCCCAGGCACTGTTAGATCACCCCGTACTCCCTGGCATGGAGGAAAGGAGAGAGCGTGGGGCCTGCCAAGCAAGCAAGCCCAGGCCCCATGAAGCAAAGCAGGCGGGACAGCTGAGCAAACTATCCCTGAAGAGTGAGGCCTCTAAACCAGCCTGACCACAGCACACTTCAAACATTCTGGCCTAACCCTGCAGCCCTGGGCAACCTGCACACAGCATTACACAACGCCAGTACGCCAAACTGGACAGCAGGGTCAAGCGAAAACTGATCCCTGCGGCACGGAAAGAGGGAGTGGGAGAATAACACAGTGAAATGCAAACACTAGACCAGAATAAATGGCCCCTCACCCTGAGAGTTAACCAGCCAGATGACGGCTTGTATTCCTAGCCTCCCGCTCAACTAAAACACAGCAAACAGCCACCCTTTCACCAACAACGTGTTGGCCTGAACTGAGGCCATAAGAGATTGAGTTCACATATTAACCCTCTGCCAAGACCATTTACAGACTTTGTTATAGAGCAGCATGTTTAATCAAAATAAAAGTGTAGTCATGAGGAAAACGCTAAAATATGTTCTACAAGTGAAACATGGCCCTGTGTTCTTTTGAACTTGTGATAAACACATGCTGTGTCCCAATTCGCAAAATATCCATCCTAAATATTATTCGAAAATAGAATTAGTATGTCCCAACCCATAGTATGTTAAAAAGAGTATGGCAAAGATTTCCAGAAGGTTTACTATTTCCGGTAAAAACTCATAGGGTAGAAGCATCCACACACTATCCGCTAATATTGCCCACAATAGATTACACATTAAACGTAAATGTGTTTAGACCTACAAGCTCGGGTAAAAAGTATAAACAAAGTACAAACATAGCAGATGTGCAAGACCAACCTCCAAGTAGAGAGGCTTCAGTAAAGTTTTTTGAATGACTGTTAATTAATATCTAGCCAACTGGATCCGGCTTAAACCAAGTTTTCAGTGTTTTATTTCATCTACAACAACAACGTGAACTTATATCAAGATTTGTTTGGACATTAACTTCTAAATGCATAATTACCCAAAGACTTGAGGTGGTTTCTCTGCATGAAAGACTCGCGAATGGCAGGTTATCCTGCTGCTGCTTCTCCAAAAGGGTAGGTAATGAATTATGAAAGAAATGTGGATGATGTGTCAAGATGATTGACAGGGGACGCAACTAAGAAACATAACCATCTGTTAATAAGAAAGTTGTCCCAAAGCTTGCATACTCTTCTGTTACTCACTCAAAAATATATGCTTTTCCTTTACTAAAAAGTACATACTTTTAGGGTGTAGTATAAATATGTGAATTGGGACGCAGCAGCAGTCTCAGACAATCTGGATAAGATGCTAGCTAACTTTAACACACATTAAAGTTGTAATGAAGTGCTTTTCGTCGACAAAATATTTAATGTATAATTAGCATTCAGCCAAAACAAAACCTAAATTATATAAAATAAAAAAATTTAAAAACGGCTATAAATATTAGAATTGTGATATAAATATAATAGTAATATAAAGGCATTTAAAAAACAATGACTTTTTAAATTACAGAATTAAAGTGGACTGTTATAGCAGTATTTCATGATTTATGGCAACATGTACTTTACAATTATCGAAGACAATTAATTTAATTCAATAAACGTTATTTTTTTAACTCACAGGGGTTAGAAAATAATATTTAGACATAAGCTTACACACAACAACAAAACAAATACACTTACACAATTATTTAAAAAATCCTATTGTAACCAGTGGCAGTGGGAATAAATGGTTTTCCTGAACTTAGCCTTTTTTGCTAAAGGAACTTTATACCGTCTACTAGACGTAAGGGACCATGTAAGAAATAGGAAGAGTCTTCCACAATAGTGGAGTTTTTTTTTTTTTTTTGTCGTTGCTAAAAAAAATAACTAAAAAAATTCAGTGAGAGGTGTGTGTCTCACCAATTATTTTACAACGTTTACCAACCTTAAAAGTTTATAAAAGCCTGCACCACGAGTCACATGAGCAGAAGTTTATCCTTTCTTTTAATTACCTATCAATACCAAATTGTTATTAGATTATTTATTTTATTAAGTCATAATCAAAAATCACTTTATTGCACTTAAGTTTTCAAAACACACACAGAGAAACTGTGTATAGCGTAGGACAATGTAAAAGCAGAAAGGACAGGAAAGGAAGACCAGCTGGAGCCACATCGTCCAGAACGCCTTGAGAATGGCAGCGGCTGAGTGGCGCTCCCTCTGTGAGCATGGCTGGGCAGACGGACACAGTCACTGGGCCAGAGAGTGTGGCACTGCCAGGGCATGATCTCAGTGCCAAGCCCACACTCTCTGCCTGACTGAAAAACTTCTATTCATGCAGAGAGAGAGGGAGGGAGGAAGAGAGAGAGAGAGAGAGAGAGAGAGAGAGAGAGAGAGAGAGAGAGAGAGAAAGGGGAGACAGTTGAAAAGGAGGATGTGGCCAGGCCAACGGAAGTGATCTCCAGGCAGAAGGAACTCCATGCTCTCCTGGAGGCGACACAAAGGAATCCCGGCAGCTTAAAGCCCACTCACAAACACTCTACAACAATCTCAGTGTTGCTTTTGTCAGCACTAAGCAGTGCATTTCTCTCCCCACCCCCTTCTTCTGCTAATCCAAAAGTAATAAATAGAGCTAGACTGCTCTCACAGCCTGACAGTGCAACTGAGCGTGCATGTGTGTGTCTCAGCTGCGGGTTTAATAGGCTGACCTTTTAAGACAGGCTTAACGTGACTCAATAAGCAAAGTCAGAGCAGCGCTATCAGATGACCCGTGACAACAGGAAGTCCTGGCGGGCAGAGAGCAGGACGGCCACTGCTGCACTAAGCGCTAATCAGCAGCAGAGTCTGATTTCTGCAGGCATGACTGCTCCCTTTCCCTCACACACATTGAACGCACACACACCTCTATTGCCAAGATAAATCTTTTTGCATATCCAGTCTAAAAGGCGAAATGGGGCAATCCAGCATTTGGGTGAACTTGATTATAAGAAAACCGCAAATAAACATGACAAGAGATATGGACAGAATCAAAGGAAGGAGTGCACGAGAGCAGAAGAGGCACAAGGAGAAATGGAGGAGGCGGCAATGAGATACGGCTGAATGAGTAAGGTTTATCTGAGCCAGGAGCTGCAGACATGAAGAATGAGTGAGGACAAATCCTTTAAGATGGAGAGTCAAAGTCTTTTTTAATTGTGATGAAATTATAGCGCTGCTAATCCCCGGCCTGTGCTTTTGCGCATTTTTTACCTGGATTAAAAGCAGGATTATACAGCAGGCTCCCTTCTCTTTTTATTATTTTTTTAAGGCTTAGTGTGCCCTAATGCTGCCTGCTCTGCTCTCCTCATGCTGTTAACGCGCCACCGACTTCCCTCTTCTTCAAACGTCAGGACTTAAAGGAGTAGTTCAGCAGAAAAGAAATTCAGCCATGATTTACTCATGATCCTCATGTTATTTCTAACCATATGGCTTAGAGGAACATTTTTGTTGGGATAATAATAAAAAATGTACTACTCTATAAAAATGACAAGATTTCCAGCTTTAAAATGTGCATTTATAGTATACATATTCAATATTTAATAGCATCTTTGTGAGGAGTCATCTGAACAGTGTATACTGACATTAAATGAAAGCATTTTAATTATGCATGGTGCGGGTGTTTTACTACACATTGGACAGAATTCTCACACTTACTGGTTGCCACATCTGTAGATACGACAGTAGCATAGTGTTGTTTGAAATTGAAGTAGGGCTAGCACATACATGCATACACTATGGACAATTTAGCTTATTGGGGAAACCGGAGCATGTGGAGGAAACCCACGCTAACATGAAGAGAACATGCAAACTAAACATAAAAATGCCAACTGACCCAGCAGGGGCTCAAATCAGCAAAACTTCTTGGTGTAAGGCAACAGCGCTACCCACTGCGTCACCGTGCCACCCTCAAAGAAATATTTGTGCTAAGAATAAAAGAAATGCATCTTATAACTTTGATGAAATTTTCCCTATTCATTTACAAATATAATGATGTATTGCGGATGGGTTTCTAGTGATCTATCGCTGATATCGTGATCTATCATTACCGAGGTCAAAACATCATGACAGTATCGTATCGTATTACTGTACCTAAATATCTGACTACTTATTTCAATTTTATCTTTGCTTTTTAAATAGACCTATTCAAGTCATCGGCCAAAATTATATTTATAATCGCAATATAAAAATCGCAGCTAAATTACATATTGCAATGTCAGATTTTTCCACATTTATTATTGCAATTCACCAACAGAAACAAAGTGCATTACAGCCCTACTGTTTTAGCAGCACTGGTCCTTAAAGATTGCATTAGTTTTAATTATTCTTTTAAAATGATTCTGCTAGGAACCTTATCGCAAACTTTGACTTAATTAAACTTCTTAAGACTCCCCTTTTTAGCATGGCTTTTAACCAAGAATGATTGTTTTTGTTCATTTACTTGTTCTATCTTATGGTTCATTTTTATTTTTGCGATGTAATTTTAATTGTTGTGCTGTTTCTGCAATTGTTATTTTTTTTTATTGTAGCGCATCGAGTCTAAGAAAAGCGCATCACAAATAAAATGTATTATTAATATTATTATTATTAATAATATTATTTGAAGCAAAAAAAACTGTTATAAGAGTTATAAAGTTATAAGACTGTAAACTTAATGGCTTTTTTTTTTTTAAATGGAAAGAATTATAATTATCCGTAGCAAATAAAATGGCATCTATAAAACAAATAATTTAAAGCTGCTGGTACGATATTCAGATTGCAGAATTTGCATATATAATAAAACTGAATTCAATAATCACAACAACAACAACAACTAAAAAATTATTGAAAAAAATTTAAATTAAAAAGGGATAATAAATAAAATAAAAATAAAATACAAAAATAAAATAAATAAAATACTAATAATAATAATGAATAAATAAAACAATAAATAAAAAATAAAAATATAATAACAACAACAACAATAACAATAATAATTAATTAATGTGATCAGATGAGAAAAATAAATAAATAAATAAATAAATAAATAAATACATTTTAGGTCAATTTCCCCATGTACAGTTTTTACTTCCAGAATGTGACTGTCGATTTCTGAAATACACCCGTATGATTAGAGTAGCAGAAAAATGTCTGAAGCACTGAAAGTGTAATCGTTAGTCTGGTACAAAGTGTAATAACTGATAGGACTATAAGTGCAAATGACTCATGCTGATCCACCACTGTACACAACACTGACCATTACTGTAGTACCAATACTTTAAAAGCAGAGCATTAGCATAGCTGTTCTTCATATTTATATTAAAAAAAAAAAAAACAGAATACTTTGAAACGCACAGATATAAAACTTGTATGGGTGTTAATACACAAATTCTGCACTTAACAGAATTTTATTATAAATAAAAGGCAAAAACTGTAGCATTTCCACAAATAGACAACCCAAACAAATTAAAAACATAGAACTCACCGTGCTAGACTCCCGCTCTTTATCCAAGTGACAAGTTGATAAAGAAACAGAAAAAGAAAAAACATCAAGTCAGCATTTTTGGATTTTCTTACCATAGCATGAGCGCTCAGCTTCATTAGTTTTTGTGTTCTGGACAATGTATGCATATGTGTTTGTGTTACCTCTGTGCTCCAGGTCATGGTGGTTCTTCTCATCTTTGACTGGCAGGTGTGCCTGGCTGCCCAGAGCTCCCAGTGCCAGCAGACCTGACCCTGAGCCTGTGACTGGAGGGATGCCTGGGGGCTGCAGCCCCGAGGGGTGAGGGGGCAGCTGGACTGGTGGTCCATGGGCAGCATGAGAAAGATGCTGAGCCTGGAGCTGCTGCTGCTGTCAACACACACATTTACATCAAGTGGGTCGGAGTGAAAGGGCACGTGGACAGCAAGCACCAAATAAAGGTGACTGGTTAAGCCCCTCTCTCACAGGATGCACAAAGAGGAACATTGGCACCCAAACACCTCAATTAGTGACTGGATCAAAAGCAGGACACTCTTCACAAGGACATGATCTCCTTGAGCTCGGCAGGAACAGCTCGCTCTGATTCTGACCTCTACAAATATGCACTGCTATTGGAAACCACACTACTTAGCATGCATCTTTTCACAACAAATCAGGAAATGCACAAACGCTGTACTAATTACAAATTTCAAGCAGGCTTGATTTATACACACTCATCTTACACAATCGAGAAGCAAGGGTGCATGATTTTCTGATGTTTGTTCACAGAGTTAAATGTGTACACGCATACATTCATCCACATACACACTCAGATAGTCAAGTAAGTTTAGTGAATGTAGGCAAACATCAAAAGAACAGCATCACTGCAGTCACCTCACAGCCCATAATATACCTAAGAGAGCTTACACAGAGGTTCATGGTTACCTTCAAAGCTGCGCCGCCAAACCTTAATAACAGCCAATAAAATATGCCATTCTCGGTTTGTGTTAACTTGGCAGTCATAACATGTGGTGCAAAAGCAGTGGCTGCTCACAACCGGGGAAAATGTGATGTAACAAAATATAAAGCAAATATATTTTTGTGTTATTTCCATAAAATAGTCGATTGTTGGAATGATCTTAACCTTAATTCGTTTTACTTATTAGACCCAATGTAATGATTATATAATTTATTACCAAGACAATTGTGCTGGATTAACAGTTCCTTGATGCATATCATTCAATGCAAATGACCTTCCCACATCGATAGTAGACAGACACACCCAAATTACTAATAACTGATGAAAGCTCAGTTCCAGCCCATATCAGTAAAGTAATAACAGTAAATCATATTTATCTGGTCTATTACAATGCTTAAATACACTGACATTTAAGGGCAGATAAAAATTATAATTCAAAATTCGAGAAAAATACTCGAAAATATGAAAACAGTTGTCAGTTAAATTGTAATAAATTCAAAAGATTGCAATATTCACTGAACACCAGACTTTAAATGGATGGTTCCCACCCATGAATTAAAATTTACTGTTCATTTACTCACACTTAAGTGGTTCTAAACTTTTAAGAGTTTCTTTCTTCGACTGAACACAAAAGATGTTCTAAAGAATGTTGGGTGAAAGAGCAGCCATTGACATCCTTAGTATGGGAATTAATGGTTGTCTTTCCCCCAACATTCTGCAGTATATCTTGTTTGTTCAACAGAAACTCGGATATGTGGACGACGAGTAAAATACATTTTTTCATTTTCTGTTGAAGGCATGAACATGAGACAGTAGTTTACAAGAATATAAAAGCTGTGAATGGGTAACTTGCAATAATTTAACACTTTAACTGCAGAAATTTATAAAAAGTAGTAAATGCTAAATGCAGCACCTATTTTTATTCAAAGCAAACAAAATATGCATTATGTTTAGATGATGTTTCAGGCACCATGTAGGTTCTCAATATAAAGGTTTCATAAACACTAGAGCTGCACGATTAATTGGAAAAAAAATCTTTATCCCGATTCAACCCCCCGCATGATCTTTATACAGCATCTCTACAATTCAGCCAATTATATTTTCAAGTTTGGGAGAAGCTTAAATGCAGTTGCACAAGTCTTCCATTTTATATTCATTGCTCAGCAACATCAACATTTATAAGGTATAATTTACTCAAAAAAGTCATTTCTGTCTTAATTTAATGATGTATTTGCAGCCACGAATTCACCCGTGAGTTGACGCACTGTTTGTTTACTACCAAAGGACGACGCATGCCGACAAATAATATCTACCTAAGTGAACAGAACCTGCATAGACTGCGAATTACAAGTAATAAAGTTGTAAATAGCGTTCAGTTTAATGTACTGAGTGATCATTTGCATGCCGCACGGGAGGTATAATTTTCATGTATGCTTTTTTTTTCCCATGGCATGAGCTGCACTCAACAGTGAAAGTAAAACCGAAAGCTCACACATCATTTAAATGATCATATCACATTTAAAAGCTATGATTACGAAAGGCATTTCATATGTTTGTTTTCTTTCATATTGAACACAGTGTAAAAATAAATGTTTACTGGGTCTGTATAACTACTCTAGCCTATATAATGCAAGAGGGAATCTTATAATGTCAAATATTTTATTTTACCAGTAAAAAAAAAAGGTCAAAAAAATGTTTTTAATGACAAATGGCAAGGATATGTCTCAAACATAATAATTCATTTCAGATATATATGAATATTTGTATTCTGATGTGGCCACTTTACTGTGTATTAATGACCTGGACAAATTTAAATTCTTCTCAAGTCCACCATTCAAAGTTTTTTCAAAATGTAGTACTTTAACCAACAGTAAACCTACACATAGGCATAATATTATTATTGTCGTTGTTTTAACACGTACGAGAATTAACATTAATAATAGCCTACTCAAATTAACCTTTATTTTACATCTGCACAATCGTGAGAAAATCATGATCTTGATAAGCAAAAAAAATAAATAAAAAACATCATGATTCTTATTTAAGCCAGAATCATGCAGCCCAAATAAACGCATAATACATTTATGAACCAGTATGTGTCTTTCCTCCAGGTAAACAGCCACTGCTTTGACTTCAACGACTAAAAAGCAGCACAATGCAGAACAAACACACTGAGAAGCGTTAGGGTCTAAGAACGTGGGAGTATATGCTTCACTTCAAAAAACCCAAATGTAACACACATATACACACACAACGGCTCTATAACACTGACCATCAGAGCAGGGTAGACAGCATGAGCCTGCTGCTGATGAGAGAAAAGAAACACTTGCATGAATAACACATCACAACTTCACAAATCCACCCAGCCACATATGCTGACCAACACTATGAAGGGTGCTTTTGTATTTAAATGACCGTGTCTGTAACCTAACCACAGTGTTAAAAATCCTTAACCTTCCTAGATAGACACCCTGATCCCCATTAGTCTCCTGCTAATAGTTTAATTGTGACAAAAATAACTGGCCGAACATTCCCCTTCTTTGTTACAAGCCACGTTTTGAGTCAGGCTGAAGCCATTTATGCTGCTAGTGTGAAATCTGAAATGCAAATGAACAGAAACAGTATGCAAAGCGAATCTGGTGTTCTGTATCAAAACAAAGGGCAAAACCAGGAGCAAACCTCTGCCGCTAATGTTTTACATGAAATGAGAACATTAACATTCATATTAACTTCTACCTGAAAACAATTTACACAATTTATAGCTTTATCATCACACCTGCCTTAACACCCGTCTCAAGTGGTGAGACAAGATTTCATTTACATACAAATGAAAAATGAAATTTTCAATAGCCATCAAATCACCTGAGACAGCGGTTAATACCGGATGTAAACAAGGCATAAAGCTGCTAATAATCAGTTCTTTCTTTGTGTCTTGAGAATTTATCTCTGATATTCTTTGTCTGCATGTATACTAGTGTTAAGAGACTGAAGGAGGAAAAAGTGATTTTGTCAATTACTGACATGATTTCTCTGAGAATTTAACTGCACTTTAACATGCTGCAGCTTTGGTGTGGCTGAAGTATGCAAATGCAATATGACTATCAAATAAAAACAATGATACATGCATAGTTGAATGTACATATTTAGGGTAAATTCTAGGAATGCTCAGATCAGAATTTTTGCAGCGGATAGAGAGTATCGATTCCTTGGACAATAAACTAGAGCTGCACTATATATTGTGTCAGCATTGATATTGTAATGCATGCGTCCGCAAAAGTCACATCGCAAAGATATGCAATGTCCAGTCAGAATTACAGTTGACCAGTAGCCACAGAGTTGTATTTAATCACTTTATTTATATAGAGTTTATATGATTTAAGCAAAAAACATTTCTTACTTTCAATTTTTGTATTGTTATTAGCCCAAATATCAACATTACAAAGTGAAACCAAGATTATTATTTTACGAACCACACTGGTAGATAACTTCCTTAAAACAAGCAAAAAAATAAATAAATAAATAATAATAACAACAATTTTTACTTCACTTCTTATCACTCTTCTGATTGAAAACAAAACATTTTTACATGGTCTATAATGGAATTTATCTATTTATTTATTTTGATATTTGGACAAGAAATGGAAAAAAAGCATTTTGTTGCACTGTGATTATTCGATTTCTATACTTAAATACTGTTAGACTCCCCAGAAAACCGTCAAATAGAGCTATTCAAACTTTATTCATATGGCAATATTTATCACAGAAAAATTCAATATCGCAATTTCAGATCTTTCCAATATCGTGTAGCTCTACTATGAACAACTGTTTATTGCAATAAGTAAATTAAAAGAAGTTATATTGTTAAATATTCATGTTAAAAATAGCATTTTAAAGTTATAATTTATGTAGTATTTTAGTGAACTTGCATTATTGTCAAATACACACAATTATCAGTTCTCATGTAAAAAGGCCTAAATACATGCAAGATCATTCAATTATTCTCAAAATACTGCTCATCTCCAACTAACACAAACACTTGTGACCAGTTTATGAGATTGGCCAGATCCGCAAGTACCGATCAAGTCATTAAAAGTGATTTTCGACCAATACCGATTTCTGGCCAGTCGATCGGAGAATCCCTAGTAAATTCTATTTAGGATGTGTTTATATACAGTATATATTTTTAAAAATCTTCTTTTTTTTACTTTTGTATTTTTAGTGTTCTGAGTAAACAACATTGTCCATACAATCCCCATCCATATGAACCCACAAAAATAACTAAAAATGCTGTCTCATGCAAGACAGGTCAGTAGTTGATTACATCAACCCTTTGTGCAAACACTACACACTTTCACACATATGTCCTGTTGATGTTTTGTTTGCTGAATACCCTTGCATGCCTGCAGAGTACATGCTGTCACCAACGTCACTAAACCAATTTTTAGTGTAGTATAGTTTTCCATAACCCACAATTTGAAACTAGTTTTCTAAAGTTTGAGTGTTCAAACCCCCAAAACATAAATAAACAATAAAAATACCAACTTAGGGGCTGATCATACTGAACGTGCCTATACGTTACAAAAATTTATGTCATTAGGCAAAAACTGAATCAGCAACACAATAGTGTGCGAGTGTTGCTGTTGATATAGGTCAATTTTAATATTTAATAATATTGTGATATTCAAGATTTGTAAAGTCATACAGCTTCAGATAACTCAAAACCCTAACCACTAGTCTCTCCTCTACAAAAGTTTCTGTAGTTGTCTTGACAACACAAACATTATGCTTTAATTTGATTGGAGAACGAAAAGACGCAACTGATGTAGCGCGCTTTTCAGCTCAGAGTTGACTTTTCAACTGCGAGCCATTCAAAAAAGGCACCTCTCAGCGCAAAAAGTAATGTAACGGACTCTTCCTGCTCACCATTACTGTTTGTTGTCAAAACTGACAGGTGGAGCAGTGTGGTTAAATATGTTACGCCCATTTGCTAAGATATACGTAATCTGACAAATTAGCTGAAAAAATGAACAAAACAGGAAGTGCATTTCAGATTTCAATTAAAGATTAGAAGGACAAACACAATTTTTCTTAATGGCATGCAGAGATGAATTTTTCGCCACAAAACTAGCAATGTGAGCTAACAAAATCATATGGTTAGTTTTGATTTCTTGGGGAAATTAAGCTTAAACAACAAGAAATAGTATACTATAGCGCAGATTATTACACAGGAAATGCTGACCAAACAGAACAGTGGCAAGCTACACTCTATAACCTTTACTCATTTCATTTTAAATCACAGATTTGCAATTTCATAAGTGATTTAATTTTATTTTGACCAATCGTGCAGCACTAACGCAAGTGAATGTGTCACTTACACGGTTGCATTTTTGTTGGTACAGCTCCAGCCTCATTACCATAAGAACTCAATGTCAGCGACTTGTTAGCAAAGCCACAGACATGTACAGCACTGCCACTTTAACAGGTCAGTGGTACCGCAGACTAAAGCTTTCATGGGCGTCTCTCTACTCTTGCTAACCCACTTATTTGCCTCGGCCCCTCCCTGCGGATCATTCCCTCTCACAATGCTTCTCTCTCTCTCTCCTTTCACAATCTTCCTCCTCTCTCGCTCTCTCTGTGCCAAACGCTGCTGGCTCCTGATTAACAGTGAATCTTTAATGACCCCCCTCCCTCCCCCTTTCCACCAGTGCACACAGATTGATCTCCTGCCATCTCACCAGCCAACAAATAAAAGCTTGTTTTTTTTTGTCTACGTTTTTTTTTATGCAATCCACTGAGGATGTGTGTGAGAGTGTGTGTTAATTCCTGCTACAGTGCGGCAAGTGTCTGTCTGACTACATCTATTTATCCACCATCACGATGGCCATGTGACTGCTAAGTGTGTGTGTGTCTGTGAGCAGAAGCAACAAGCACTGCCCTCATGCCTTCCCCCACCTCTTGCCAAGCTGCTCTGCTGAATGGCGAGCTGTTAAATGATGGAGCCCCGTCGACAGTTGCATTCAGGCCGATTCGAGGAAGCAATTACCTTGAAAACAGGGGTCAGAGTCTTGGCTCATTTGCTTTAATTGAATTCCAATATCTGGCTCTGGCTGTCCTGACCCAGCTCTGGACCTCCTACCCACTATAGCCTAGCCCTAGCTAATCCAAGCGGGGTAGCCACACTCACCGCAGGAGACACAACAAGTACTATTAGTAGTTTTGGTTTTAGCAGGACTCAAACAATAGTATTCTTTAAGGTCTTTCGGTCCCAAGAACAAAAATGATTATCCATCTCTTCATGAAAATAGTGGAAAACACCACAGATACAAATCTAGACAAAATGAAACTATAGTCTATGATGTTGAAATTTTCCATACACGTACAGTTGTTTTTAATGAAAACAATTGGGCTTGACATTGTAGGCTTGATCTGAAGGAGAGGAGAAGCCTGGGTTTAATCCTTTAAATGTTAAATTTATGATGTATACTGAAATTAACATCTGCCATAGCTTGATTAACTATTTATTTTTGATTTATCACATGACAAGTTGGCCATGTTAAATTTAGGTGTCATAAGTGTCTTGTTAACTTTTGACCACTTCCAGAAAAAGTTGACAACAATTTTAACCAGACTGCTATAATACTGCAGAGGCTGACACTGTTGAATGCATTCAACCAGAAACAAAAGACCACTTACTCTTGGCCTACTGACCTAATTCTCAAAGACTACATGATGTGTTGTTGAAATTCTTTAGCAGGTATTGATAAAAATTCATCATTTGAATTTGTAGCTTAAAAAGTGTTCTCTTATCAGTCGCTATGCTTCTATCCACCTATTATTATTAACATTTTGAAATATTGCATAAAAATATGCCCAATGGGAACACCAAGATGTGCATAAATTTTGAAAATGCACACAAATGTGTAGAATAAACTTTCTATTCAATAAAAAAAGTGCATAAACTATGATGAAACCTTTACTGAATAAAAAAAAATTCAATATGTGCATTAAAAAGGTTTAAATACATCATGTGATAACAGAAATGGGTGCGTTAAGACATCAACATTCATTCATTCATTTTCCTTCAGCTTAGTCTCTTTACTCATCAGGGGTTGCCAGTGGAATGACCAACTTATTCAGCATATGTTTTACATTCAGATGCCCTTCCAGCTGCAACCCAGTACTGGTAAACATCCATACACACTCACTCAATCACATACCACATGTCTTTAGACTGTGGGGGAAATTGAAGCACCCGAAAGAAAACCCACGCTAACATGGGGGGAACATGCAAACTCCACACAGAAATGCCACCTGGTCAAGCTGGGACTTGAACCAGTGACTTTCTTGCTGTGAGGTGACCGTGCTAACCACTGAGCCATCATGTCGCCACTGATAGCAATATTGAAAAAACAAAAATTTCTTAGTCATTCTAAACTCCCTAAAAACAAAGCCTGTCAAAGTTGATTTGTGTTATTACTTCTTAAAACTGTCTCAAAGAGAGTCTCGCATCTCCAAATGCCATCATTCTGCACTCATTGTGTTAATAGGGATTTACTATATAGGAAAAAAGGCCCACAGTAGTTTCTCCTAAGCAGCCATTTCAATTTTTCATTTTGAAATGTATCGCCAGTTTATCAGGAAGTGATGATTCTATTCTCTATAACTCGTTAAATGGAAACAGTGATTCAGTTACAAATGATGTTCCAGTTTCCTGCATAAACCGAATACACATCTTTGGATGGAAACAGCTATTGTGACATAAAGCCCACAGCATTTGGTGCAATCTCTTTAGCAATCAGTGCAAAAACAAAACTGCTTGTCTCACCATTATTTTCCATTGTCTAGTTTTGCATAATGGCTTAAATTTGCTTAAGCTTATTTTTTTAATATTAGAATTGAAAGATCGGAAACAAGTCCATACATGTACTTACTACTTACTCATAAATCCTCCCATCAAAAAAACAGAAATAGTCTGTAAATTGGTTAAAAATTGACAAAAGATGCCAATTAAAAACATCAGGTATGAGAATAGGACCTTATCTCCCTCCTCTACTTGTAATCCAATTTAAAACACATCTTAACACCAGGTATAAACAAGACTCAAGACACAAAACTGGTTTTAAGTTACAGATATAATTTAGTTTTTAAAAGCACATTCTGAAATATAATCAGTTATATCATACAACATATAGACCTTAAATAGGTCTTAAATTTTCCAGAAATCCTCTAGAAGGGAGGTGATTCTTGCAATGTTTGTGTTCCCCAAGTGAGTAGGAAGCTTCTCAATGCTCCTTAAGACAAGCTCTTTAAAGTATTTAACATGGCTAATCACAGGGAGAAGTCTAATTCTGTCAGGGTTGTCTTTGTGTGATCAAAACAAGACCTTAACTACACAAGCCCAAACATGTCTCTCTACATGCCTCTCAATCAGACGCACAGTGAGAGCAGCCACACACACACAAATAAACTCAAATGAGTGTGTGGTACTGACAAGACAAAAACAATGGCATAAAGCAAACACACTGATGCAAACATCACATTACAACTTAAAACAAAGCAAAAATTAGACCATAAAGGGCAGGGGCAAATCTGCAGCAGGAGACTGATGGGACTAAGACACACTAACAATCCTGATCTCCAACCAGAATACGTTTATAAACGGCTCTAGCAATCACGGATTTGCCCTTGAACCGTTTAAAAGCTGCTGAGGTGATATGTGTTGGATTGAAGGTTTTACAGTGGAGGATTATGACTGAAGTGTCACCTTTGACTCAAACCCCACATGTGGGGGAAGGCTACTTTAGTTTGGCTTCATTATGAGCATTACAGATCCGATTGTGATTTAGGAGCCAGGAATGAATGCATTAGTACACTGAGCTTCATGTGTGCAGGTTTGTCCCTGGCCCAGGTCAAATAAATAAGAAAGAGGGGTATACACACGGTGAGAGGCAGATTGGGAAGTCCACGTACCCCGATGATGGCATTCAACTCGGTCATTGTCACTTGCTTAGCACGTTCAACAGCCTGTGCGACCTGCTGTTGGTGCTGGAGGAAAGAGGAAAGACAGATCAATACACTGAAAACTTGCAAGGGCTAAAAGATATGATGGCAGAGAGATGGGAAGTGGATAATATTTACCTCTTGTGACAAAAAAGGCATGATTTGAGCAAGAATTGCATTTAGCCGTTTGGCAATCTCAGTCTGAAAAAGAAAAACAGACACACAAACGCTGCGGTTATTAAATTGTCAGCTCTTTTCCAATCACTCAAATGTACTTAAATCTCGGCAGCGTGCGCTCTGATGCCCTCACGTTACTTTCACGTTGGTGAATACTCTAATCAAGCCTCCGCAGATCTAAATGAGGCATGATGGGATACCTCCAGTACTCCTGATTAATGAAGTAAAAACTTCAGAAACGTCTGCCTATGCTGATGTTGCCATGAGTTGGTGCAGCATAAACATGAGGCTCTTCGAGCGTTGATATGGTGTGTGTGCTGTTCACGAAGCCAAACGGCGCTCCAGCACACTGCTACTGAAACAGATCTGGCCAAATTCACAGCTCTGCCAGGCCAAAGTGGGCAGAAGGCCTGCGGTGCCCATCTGGCCAAGAGATGGAGAGCGAGCGAAGGAGGGATAAAGGAAAGGGGGGTCATCTGGCCTCAACCAACCCCCCCACCCCCTCATTACCCAGACAGATTATTTCATTAAGATGCTGAAATATGCTAATGCTGATTTGGTGCTGGGAGATTAACGATGGCAATACTGAGCAATTACCATTTTTCCCCATGCTCCCATTCCAGGAGCGCAGGAGGCAAGGAACCAGAGCCCTACAGCAATATTCAAAATGACTTTTATTGATATTGAGAGACGGACAGGGTAATCAGCCAACATGCTCTGGTTCCCCTGCATTACTCACGGCTACCTGAAGCCCCCAAGAGCTATATTTCATCATGAGCCATGCTAGCACTTCTGGATGAAAAGGAGAGAAGGCAAAAGAGCGCGCAAGGGAGGGGGGGAGAGAGGAAGTATGGGGCGGTGAACAAATTGATTATAGGTTGGAGCAGATGGCCCAGCAGGTGAGGGAGGAGAGAAATTTCTCTTTCTTTCACTGCAAGCCACATTCCGTTCATTTTTTGGCAGCGTGACCTCCATGCCTGTGGGAGGGTGCTGACCCTGGCACTCTGATGGATTCGCTCTCTCTTTAGAGCGGGTGAGAGTGGATGTGTTCTGACCTGTGATGAACTGTCTCTAGGGACGTGAACAAAGGATCTAAGCCCTCTCCACACCCCTTCAGAGTCATTGAGCTATTAATGCTTTTTCAGCTCGGCTTTGCTACACAAACACGCACTCCTTTACAGAACAAATGCATAGAACAACAATAATCGATTGGCATCGAACCAAAAAGAGAAATATTGGGACATCAAATACGCTGCCTGCCCTCATACACAAACCATACGCTGAGGCTCTTTCTCCTCTCGCTCACTCCATCAGTTCACCCCCTCCTCTTGGCTTCCATTCCTGTATGCCACTTGGAGGTTGCCACAGCAACCGGCCCGCCCCTATCTCTCCCTTAGATCATTATGTAAATTGGAGCTCTGCTTGACCATAACAGGCAGTAAAATCATATTACGCGCACAGGGGCAGGTCATTAAATTGAATTTTCGGCCTGTCGATCAGATCAACTCTGCAAATTAATGCAGGATGAAAGGGGGCAGACGGGGGAGGGGTGTAACGGCTTCTCTTTCATGGATGGGGTGGGGTGAAGTGTGTTTGTGTGTTAAGATTGGGAAACGCTACCCTTCTGCTTGAGCCAAAAACCACTGACGACATGCCAAAAGAGAAGATATTCCATAGCAATTATCAGTAATGACATTTCCACTGATAAACGGCATACGTGACATGTTGGTACACAACACCCTTTGTGCAGCAGCATCGAAATACTGGAGCAAATACTTCAGCAAAGAGGTTCCAGGTTTGAATTAAGCAATGCAGACTGTTGTATGTATACCTGAAAGATGCGAAGAACTAAAGGTGAATCTCATGCTTAATGATCATACAAATATTTTTTTTAGTATTTATTTATTTAAATTATAAATATCTATATAATTACTATTAATTTATCATTTATTTATTGCCAGATTTGCCACATCAGCAACTTATGGCTATTTTGTGGCAAAATGGATATACATAAAATATTACATGATAAAACAAATTCGCATTATGATAAAAAGCTAGTTACTTTATCTATATCTATATATATATATATATATATATATATATATATATATATATATATATATATATATATATAAATATATATATTCACACAAAAACATATTCAAAGTTAAATATGATTTAAACTAAAAATATGTATTTAAAAATATGATTTAAAAATGTACAAAGTACTCTCCTTAAAACAATTTTGTCTAATGGTATTCAAACTTCCACATTCCCAAAAAATATGTTTGATAGTAAGAGCAGTATGGCAGTAATTACATTTAGGTGGTGCTTCTTTATTTAGTAAATATAAATGTGTCAATCTAGAATGTCCAGTTCGACATCTAGTATAGACAGTTTGAATATAATTACTATTAGTATATATACTAATTAATATAAACTAGGGATGTCCCAATCAGGTTTTTTGTCCTTGAGTCAGAGTCATTTGATTTCGAGTTTCTACTGATACCAAAACCTGATCCGATACTTCTATAATACATAAAAAAAGAATAAAGAAGAACGAAGAAATATTAAGGACATTAAGGACATTCCTTATTTTTTTTTTATTCACCTTATTTTAACATTCAACAACTTTTGTTGCTATTTTAACATTCAACAACTGTTAGCAAACAGAGCACTTCTGTGAGGTAGCTTGAACAATCAAGTAATAAATAATCTTGGACTTAATAGCATCTCAACTTAAAATACCCGGCAGGCAATCCCAAGTTTACATACATCACAGTTTGCTCTGCCAATGCTGTCATCATCAACTTCATAATGCCGACGTACTCATGCTTTCCGCTTCAAGCTGCTTCCCTGTTCAACTTTGCCGGCATTTAACCAATAGCATCTCTGCAACAGATGTCATGCCGTACGTATTGCTGTTACTGTGTGAAGTCAAGTCAGAGGTCTAACTCTGTGCCACCACATAACTATAGACGTGTTGATCGGGACGCAACATCCAATTCTGATCGAGTCTGAAACCGCGTGATCGGACCCGATTTGCAATCATGTGATCGGATCTGGACATCCATACTATAAACTCTATATTTCTTTGCTTTGTAACTAACTGTGACTTGAATTTTATCTTCTACTATTATCATTACTATATTGCCAGTACAGTAAAAGCACTATAATGGAAATCAATTATGCGCAGAAAAGGAAAACAAAATGAAGGAAACCACCACAAAAATGTCACACTGCTACAAATCTCCAAGAAACAAATATTTTTCTTTAAGCAAAAAAAAAAAGTTGTTAATGTATTTAGTTTACTTGGACGTTACTGTAAAATTCACTCTTGATAACCTCCATTAAACAAATCGTAAGGACTTCACACAAGCTAATCTACAAAATTCATTAACCTCAAATTAAACTTCTGCACTATGAAAAGGGAACAGGAAGCATGTTATTGTTGAGTTCCAGAGGTGTGCCGTAAGCTACTAGAACAGCTCCCACACAGGCTGATAGAAAAAGAAAAAAAATAGGGCACAGGGAGTGAAAACAAGGCCCTTCAGCAGAAAGAGGCTTTCTGCTCAGCTTCACAATCCCAGGTGCTCAGTGCTGTCAAGCAGCGTGTGAAGAGCTCTCACACGCAGCCCTGTCAATGGCACGCCAGAAGCCATTTACCTGTTGCTGTGGGTATGAGCTGAGTGCAGGGAGACACTGATGAGGATTAAATATGCTGCAAAACAACTGCACACTGAAGGAGAGCCACTCACTGACAAATGAACACGCATACAGACCGCTGCACTTCTCTCTCTGTGACTCGAACAATTACAGACAAGAGGAAGAGAAAGTAAGTAGTGAGTTTGTACGGTTGAACCTACATTTACATGCTCACTCAAACATAAAAAAGCCACATATATAGAGACTTGTGATGACAGAAGAAGCTGTCTTTTCAAATTAGACATGTTAACAAATACACGATAGCACTCAGTGGCATTCACACACTTGAGTTCATTCGTCCCGCCTGACACAGGCTCCTATAACCCTCAGCTTCCCTCAGGCTGAAAGGCTGCATTGAGCAGCAGGCATCCGTACAGGGTGTCTCTGTCTTGCCCTCCCTGCATATGCAGCACAAATCCTGTTGGAACCGTTTAGTGATGTTTGTGTCTCTCTGTGCATTCATCGGCTGGACACAAAGGACACAGACACAACCACCTGGTTCAGTGAACAGAGCTAGAGACAGATGTGACCTGAAATTTACTTACACACACAAACACTAGAGTATCTATACCTAACTCTTAAGTTCAAATGCTGTAAGCTAGGGTTGCACAATGCTGGAATTTGGTAGTAATCGATACTGAAATGTTAAAAATGTCCATTTTCTGCTTCGAGCGTGATCTTAAGTGCAGCTGATTTACCATTGTGTTCACATGCTCAACAGAAATTACAATAATTGGTCGTAAAGGTCACCAAACTCACCGCTGTTTACTGTGTGTAACCACAGATACAGGGACACTGTAGCATTTAAAAGCCTCGATTCATCAGCGGATCGCTTGTATGTCAGCCTATAGACAAACCAACTGACTGACATGACTCTGAAACACTCCAGTGTCCCCGTATCTGACCTTCACAGCCAATCACAGTCATTTCTGTTGAGCACGTGAACACAATGGCAAATCAGCGCTGTATAAGAACATGCTCAGTAGCGCTCAAATGTTAGTGGGAAATGGACATTTTTAAAACTTCAGCATCGATTGGTACCAAATTCCAATATCGTGACAACCCTACTGCAAGCAGACTAAAAATCTCGCCTAGGCGTGTTTTTGATTATGCTACTGTAAAACCAAATAATACATAATGTATTCATTTAAAAGTGAAGATAATAATAATCTCAAAATTAATGTTCGAATCACATCATTTTTAATTTAATCAAAGATGTTCTTTTTCAATTGATTTTAAAAATAATACCACTTGAATGCAATTAGCTTATTAGTGTAATGCAGTAACAGTATAATAATGCAGACACAGTAAATCCAATAAAACATGTCAATTCACCGTCATTAGGAATCTTAACCCATTTTGCAATGAATGTACTTTCAAAGCTACATACAAATGTATTATGGGAATGTGCAAACCGCTTTTATCGCTTTATTGGTGAAAAACGTTAAAGTAAAATGACTGGATTTAATTTAAGAGTTAAGTTACATGTGTAGGGTCAACAATTTAATTACAGAGCTTAATTACAGACAGAATTACGCATGTGTATTTTTAAAACACAGTATAATTATCTATATAGGAGCTAATGATGAATAATATTAAGTTTCAAACTGACTGCAAATGAATCAGAACAAAATATTAGAATATAACCCAATAAAATCACACACACATTTTGGTCTTGTCCAAGATTGAAAGAGTTGTGGTCTAAAATATTTGATCCTTTTGAAAAAATCTTTAACATATCAGCCACTCATAACCCTCTAGCAGCCCTATTCGGAATTCCTTTTGGGCCAAATATGCCTTCAACAACACAGAACGCTGTTACTTTCACCACATTATTGGCTTATTCTACTTAAGTGGAAACAAACATCTCCACCTTCATATGACAGACGGATAAAAGACATTTGTGTTTAAAGATAAGGTTTTTATTAAGAGGGTCTTTATCTTATATCTTTTTACAAAACATGGAAATCTTTGTTGAATTATATTGGCACTACTGATCTTGAAGCAGAAGAGAAATAAAGCTTTTTATTATTTATTTATTACTTTTATTGTTAGATTTTATGCTATGTATTTATATGTTTTTGTTCTCTTTACATTTACGGTGTTATTTAATAACTATATTGTTTTTTTTTTTTGGTCATTGATTCTTAGTTGTGAAAAAGCAGAACAGTGTATTACTTATTGTTGCATGTATGTAATACTGTATCTGCGCAAAATGTAATAAATATATTTGTCAAAAAAAGAATAGAACCCAGTCACCATTATTTTAGGATTATTTTACTAGCCTGCCATGATAATGTGGGTGCATTTTGTCACCACTAGACATCTCACTCACATGTACACAAACACTTCTGAAGAGAGACTGCAGTGTGCTCAGAGTCAGTTTGCTTTGGCTCAGAATCAAATCGACCATCATCACCTTGGCAAACAATTCCTGGAATCCTGAATAAATTATTCATCTGAACAAGTTCCCTCCCCGCTGCCTGTCTCAACCCCCCTCCTCATTCTCTCTCACCCTCTAAGGCCACAGACTGAGCTTCACTTAATGAATCTGGCTTAGTGTGTGTGTGCACACAAAGAACTGACCAAATACAGCCCCACCAATAATCACACACACAGTTCTGCATTCATTCAGCGGCGAGTACTTCAGGACAAAATGAGGAAGAAAATGAAGACAGAGGGAACTGTGTTAAACACAGAGGGACAGCAGATCAGGGGCCTCTGTGGCTCAGTAATTAAAGGGCCACATTGACAAGCACAGCCGTCCACTTCCTGCCCTAACGCAGTCACTCCTCCCCCCTTCTGCCCCAAGGCACTAACGTACCACAAGATTAGCACCATTACAAACTCTCAACGGTGTTTACATAAAACACTAAATTAATAGTATTCTGAATGCGGCGGATCCTGAAAGCACATGACAAATCTGGCACCTAGATGCATTTTCCTCCCTTTCCTTTCCAGTCAAAAGCACTACATGAAGGGCAGACTATGTGTTATCAGACTGCTGTCATCACTAACTCCAGAGAGAGCAGGGAGTCCATGCTCCCATGAATAATTCATGCGTTTGAGTCCACTCAGTCAGAGCTCTATTGATAAACAAAAGAGAGGCTCTGCAAAAAAAAAAAAAAAAAAAGCCAGTCGATTAACCTGTTTGCGCAAAGCCCCTGCACCTACTCTTCCCTCCCTTTTCATTTTCTCTCCGTCTCTCTCACAGCTGGAGATAAGTGCCTGACAGAAGCTTTCAGAAAATGCAGTGTCTGTGAGAGAGAGACATGTGGCCCAGACACACACACACACACAACACACATATATTCGGAGTAGCTGATGGATCGTGCATGCTGTTCCAATTCACCACCCTCACACTGATACCATTAACCTTGTGAGGCCTCAGGGTGAGAACCATAAAGGGCCTCTTCAAACTGAGCCCTCCTCATATGACTATACATCATATCACTGCTAATGACATAGAGAAAAAGAGAAATAGAGAAAAAGGGAGGTGCTGGCTGGTCTATCTGTTAAAGTGCACCAATTGCATAACCTTACTTTGTTATAAGAACCAATCGACTGATTAAAACACACACAACAGCAACATGAAGGCTGACAACAATTAGGGTAGGGATGCCAACCATTAGCATCAATTAGTAAAAGAGGTTAAATAACACTTCCCGCTGGACACAACTGACCTATTGACCTTTATATGGCCTGGCATCTGTCCTTGCCTCCATCCTTCTCTTGCTTTTTCCGTTTATTTTTAGGTCTGTTGCGTGCAGACATCGCTTTTTATTATGGTTATTTATAGATGCAGCCCAGAAGAGGGAAAAGATTCAGGAAATGGACTCAAACTTGCACAAGCCGGATTCAAACACGTGCACTAGGGCTGTGTGATTTGGGGGAAATATCTAATTGCGACAGATATTGCGATTTGATTTGATTTGCGATATAAATTTGTAGTCAAGCTTTAGCTTAATCTTTATTGCAGCTTCTTACTGCTAAAATGCAGTGTGCGAGTACCTTTCTGTAAACAAGTTGAACTCAAATTAGGGAGATTGCGGCTTACACAAAACAATATATATAAATAATTATTATAAAAATACAGAACACTCAGCAAACTAACATGGCTGAAATATCTCTGAAATTGTACTTTGCTGTTTTTGCAACATTTCAATTTGCGATTGCAATTCGATTTCTATTAAATCGCACAACACACTTTGCCTTTGACCACGGTAAATTAATGTAATTTATGACAACTTCAAATCTATCTTTGCATGCCTTCATGCATGACAGTTTTTTTTTTTTGACAGATGCAGAATACTACATAAAAGCCCTATACAGTCCAATATCACCTGTTACCCTGACCACACAAGTATTTGCCATGGCAATATCATCCAGCATACACACTATACGAAAAAAAGAGAATATAGTATTTCAGTAGATCACATACCTGTTTATGCATTTCAATGTTCAGTCCATATGACATCTCATAGTACTGCAAGAGAAAACGAGAAACGCTTTCAGCACATAAGAAATAGTGTAATGTTATTGACTGCAGTATCACCTCTATATATCATGCACCCAATGTATGTTTTACTAAAGTGTCCCAAGCACTAAAGTGTGCTGGGACGAGGATAATTGGCTGATTAAGTGAAGAGCAATGTTTATAAATCTGTCTCAACATTTTTTTTAGAGCCATTTACTACCTACAAGCATTCATGAAAGCAGCTGTATTAAACTAGTTACTAAATATGTTCACACAAAAAAAAAATAGCCAAAGATAAACAATTAATAGTATATGATAATAATATAATATTCTACCCTTTCTCTCCCTTTTATAGTCTCCTTTTCATCTCTACACTGTAAACCCCAACAGTTAACTTTATTAAATGAAATGATTATAGTTATAATTGACAGAAAGTAAGTTCTACTCATTTGAAAAGAGTTTTGAACTTAGCGTTACGAGTTGATTAAATACCTCATTACTTCAACTTAAATGGAGTAAGTTCAAAGTACTCACATAGATTAGTTTAACTCAAATGGTTTGTCCCAATTGGTTTCCTTAAACAGTTTGAGCTGCCTTAACTTATTGTGTTTTACAGTACTCAGTTGGTTTGAGTTCATTTATTGGGTTTTACTGTGCTCAAATGGCTTCATTTACTCAAATAGAGTAAGTTCACAGTGCTCATTAGGATTAGCTTTTGAACTTAAAAGATTGTTGCAAACGGTTTACTCAAATGGTCTAAGTTACCTTAATTTTTTTTGGTTTAACAGTGTATGAAACGTTCCTAGTGAAAAGTTCCCTCATAGTTATCGGTCAGCAGGAGATAACAGCTTTACTTTAAACTCAAAATTACTGATCAGACTAAGTTCATTCAAACAGCCAGATTGCAAACATTTTTTTTTCTTAGAGCACGTCTGTGTGTTTTATTTAGTTTATCTGGTAGTGGCCTTTTACCACTCAGCATTCCTCCGAAAAATAATATTTAACAGAGGTGCGGGCATGTTGAGTCAATATCTACTACACGTTCAAATAAGATAAGAGAGAGTAGAGCTCAGTTAACACTGTTCAACCTGTGCACTATTACATCATATCCTGGCGGAATTCAATTTCCACTCACTGCACTTCTAATAAGAGACAAACTAATATTAGTGCAATTCTTGAATTGCGCACAAAGGTCAATATTGAGTGAGGCTGCAATCATCCTGAAGGTTGATAACATTTCAGTTAGGTCATGTCTCTAGGTAATGCAAGACAAAAACAACTGTACATATGCAAGAGTGTTGTTTTATTTTATTGATTAGCAGAGATCACAAACAGCCCAATGAATATTCTTGTTTACATATACTGAACGACATTACATTTCGTATTCTTATTTATTTTCTTGTATTGAACAAATTTAGTCAGAGAGCACTCTTGAAATGCTAAACTTGATTATCAAACTGCATTAGGCTACCTTTTCTTTCACTTAGACACTCAGCCCCTTAGGTCAAAGTGAACGGAACAAGCAGCAACACCTTGCCCAAAACACCCTCCAGGCATTTTACAACAAATAAAAACACCCACACTCCCCAACACTGATCCTATAGTGCAATCAATGCAAACACCAACACAATAAATAGGGGTAGTGGACACTAAACATTAGCTCAGATAGCTGGCTGGTGGCCCTATTGATGTTTTCAAGGAACAAAAGATCAGCAGATTAAAAAAAAAAAAAAAACAAGCTCTTACCATAACATAATGCCTCTGCATCTCAGTCTTCTCATTGGCCAGTTTGTCGTACTCCACTTTAAGACTGTTAAGAGAGAGAAAGATCCAGAATGACTTCTTAGTGAATGCCAAAGCCACAGATCACATGCAACGTATTGGCTCACATCACAAACTACTGCTGATTTTACACGGATTTCCATGAAACCCCAAACATTAAAGCACTTTTCATATAGTGAAATGAAGGCACTATACTTGTAGTTCCTATGAACTCGAGGTTAATTTACACAAACCCTATTCTGATAAACACATGACACGCATACAGCTCAGCGAGCAGAGATATTTACCTGTGGTACTGAGCTTGAAGGAACTGAAACTCGTCTTTGATTCTGTCACAAGATTCTGCTACAGTGAATTTGAAGCCCGGCTGGCCAGGCTGGTGAGGTGCCTGAAAAATAATATCAATCATTTATGTGAACTGCTGCAAAGAAAAGGCATTATTAATACAGCCTAGCCACTGATGCAATATGCCATTACACCAACATTCCGTGTTTTCGGAATGTCACTATAGCTTTGACTTCCTACCACCATAACCAAAACAACCAACGACCTTCTCCATTACTCCTTTCAGAGCAGTCCGTGGGTCTCAGGTTTTACTTTCGCTGAGTGTCTGAACAAGTCACGGGTGTCAATAACACATTTCATGCTTCCTGATTTTCAGGGAAATGATATTTCATCGGAGCTGAACTGCGGTTTGTCAGAAGTGCCCAGGCGCTCCCTCGAGCTCGGCCTGCCGGTGGTTTTGAGACTCTGGTGGGAAAAGCCTCACACACTGAGCAGCGGTCGGCGTGACACAGACGGGTCACTGCGTCTAAACAGCCCCGGAGGAAGAAATAATAATAATAAAAGCAAACTAGCAGCTGATTCTCCTCCTCAGTCCTTTCCCGTACACATTTCCACTTTAAACTCACATGAAAACCAACGATAGAAGCAAGTTCCGCCTCGTTTAGTTTGAGCAGAAATAAAGGGCACACCGCGCGGCACAATAGTGCGCGAGCCCAGCGCTCGAGGAGCGCGTCTGTCGAGGACACAAAGCATCAATATCATAATTTATGATACTCACCGGATGCCGGCCCTGCGGATACATCTTGAATGTATCCTTTCCGAAGAGAAGATCCAGGGGATGTGGCGCTCTTCAGTAATCCGAGTAGATGAGAGAGAGCCCGTCCGTCACCCCTCCCAGCACTCGCGGACACACAAAGCCCGGTCCGTCCACCCGATGCACGCGCTTCTCCCGCTCCTGATCCCCGGTTTAACCCCTTTATCCTTCACACAGGCGAGGAGCAAGACAAAAACACAGCGCGTTGGCTCATTATCTCCAATAAGAGTCAAGCGTTCAGCTGCGCGTGTGCTGTAAACACAGAATAGTTGTGTCGAGCGAGGCAAACACACATTTGCTGCTTGTCATCTGCTCTGCGAGCTGCGACTAACAAGCTGCTTATGAGTCTTCTCGCAATAACAAGATTACCTGACTGCTGTTTGCTTGAATGTAACCAGACAAGATTACAGAACAATGTCAGAAATACAGCAATAGAAACCCAATCAATTCCTGGATAAATGGGTCAAACAGACTCTTTCTTTAGCTTGGTCTGGGATAAATATACACGGCAGCAGCTTTGTAAACTACAAAACAGGAACAAAGCATGAAGAGTGCTTAATTGCTAAATCGACTGACTAAATTACGAGTGGATTGTTGTGAAAGTTATCTTCCGCGTTACCTTCAGTCTCCATAAAATCCCTTTCCGCGAAGGTAAATGCAGCAATAATTCCTTGCACCGAGGAAACGTCGAAGTCCTCCACTCGTGACCTTATACGATCAGTATTAGGCGCTGGTTGGGAATCAATCCCAACCCTAGAAGAAAAAAGCAGCGCCTAACAATCGCTTCGAGATTGTTTTCCTCTGTTAAGACTTGCTTGAACACAGTTCTCAGGGTGTTGATAAATTCTCCCAATCCCTATTTGATTGCTTGTTTAAAAATGGTTTGATGGTGAAAAGTTTGCCTCGTACGAGCCAGCCGCTCGCAGTCGCTTTGCCTAGTTTCTCCAACACTCGCAGTACCACACACAGACTGCCCACTGACACGCGGGCTCAACTACCGCGAGAACAACCGAACACGACCAATCAAATCTCGAACAGGACTTCAACGCATCCGACCAATCAGATATTAGATCCCACGTGGGGCACGTCCGTTTTGCGCGCGCTGATTGGCCAATAAAAACCTGACCTCATGTTCGCCATTTTGGCTCTAAATAGGTTGCTTTCCCCGTAGACAAACAACTTACATGAGCGACGATTGTTCGAAGTCTAGCCACCAACTGAAATCTCAAGAGATAGATTGTAGCCTCAGAAATACATATTACAAAAGAAACTGCCTGCAATTTCGCTTCTATTCGCTGATTTACGAACATATATCTGCGTTTTAAAGGGAACCCCAGTCGTATGGAATCTGTTTATAATTACTTGCTCTTTTTATGTTCCCATCATGTTTAAATGTCATAATTTCAACAAACTGCGAATTTGTCCGTGATTTTAAAAAAAAGTGAGCAAGTGACTTGAGTCTAAACATCCTTCAAATGTCCCCCTTTGTCCCTTTCAAGGGCGCCTAACATGGATAACAAAATGAAGCGAGGGAGCACCCTCATTGCCAATGTATAGTTATGCTACCGATTTTGAATGTAACTCAAATTAACAGCATAATCTGTGAAATCAGCCCTCATTACTTGATTCACGCTGTCTGCTCAGCAACACCCTCCGTGCCCACGTCTGCGCCCGGAAAAAAAACTCAACCTATCATGTGTTGCTCAGACCCACGTGGGGCTCAGCGCCTCGTTCAGAGCATGCTGACCAATCAGAGCGCGGGCGAGCGTCTGATTGGCTTAGAGCGACACGGGTTGTCAGTTCGAGACCTAAGTTGTCAATCAAGCCCACGAGGGGTAGAGCGCTGACAAATGCCTGTGCCTCTCAGCCTCCCGCCTGCGAATAGTGCTTGGAATGGCTGCTTAATTAGCTTCGAATGGCTTTTCCTTCCAGCTCAAACAATCTGTCACTACCATGTGGTAAAAAGAGCCCTGCGTAAAACAAAAGAGGGAAAAGCTAGTAGGGGCTAAATATCAGTTTGATTTTTTTCTCTATGCAAGTCGCATTACCACAAAACAAAACATTTATTCCACTCAAAGGCTGGTTCAGCGTAGCCAACTGTTCCTGGCTTTATTTGTTTTCCCCAAATAGGAGTGTAATCAGATATGCTTAATAATGTGCGTATTTATTCTTTTTTAATCATTTAAAAATATATAATTTTAGGCAAAAAGTCTACTGGATCACAGAGGATTGACTGTCCTAATTAGATGTGTTTAAGATGTTTGTGCTCAGAGACTTCAGGGTCACTTCAATGCAAAGATCTGAGGAAAAGCCAACCATTGTTCGATTAAACTATAAACTTCTGTCCATCCCATTTGGAAGGGTTATTGGCTGGAACAAATATCAGGGGTGGATCCAGAGATGGAGCACGGAGTCGTTATGAGTGCCATTACTGACATTATTCTGCTGTAATATTTTAAGAGAACGGCACATAACTTTGTCAGTGTGAAAATGTAATATAGGTTATTACTCCTGCTATTTTTAAAATTTAAAATAAGGTTAATAGCATACATGCATGCGAGAAAGCTTTCTGCATGCTTCTTGGTCTATGTAATTGAGGTTTCCTGCTTGCTCGGTGACCCATCACAAAAACATTCTGTATAGTCAAAAAAAAGGGTGAGTCAATGAGTTTTCACGCACACAGACAAGGGTTAACAGGCCACATGAACTCAAGGAGTGACAGCTGCATTTAAATAAGGGAGTGAATCCTCAAAGCAATCATTAAGTGTGTGCACAGAACAGATCTCGCTCCCATATTATGATGATTTACACTATGGTAACCACAACAACATCCTGGTATCTTGCTTTTGGTATATATTACATTTACCCAAATGATAAAACAACCAAAACACATTACTGAGGTTGAGTTTAACTGCACCATTGTCGAAAGATGTGCCATGTCATGTGTATGTTTGGACGGGTTTAGGCAAAGGTACTTTTGAAGTGTTGTTATGTCCACTTATTAAATCAAATCAAATCACATCACTTTTATTGTCACATCATCGGCAGCATATGTATTATGATAAGTGAGAAGCTTAGGTGCTGGCTCCAGTGCAAAATGCAACAACATATTCCAAAAACAAAACAATATACTATTAGCAATGTTGACAATAATACATGAAAGACAATAAATACATTGAAAAAAAACACACATGCAGGCACGGGTAGACAAGTACACAGTCAAAAAGGTGCACACATAGTTTGACTGTTGGTGGAAAATGATTGTAGGCAATATTGTTTTAAGTAAAGATTTGGTTAAGCTATAAGCGACAATTAAGTATATTCAGGTTTAAAGAATCCTTTTTATGGATATGTAGGAAGGTGCAGGTTGCAATATTTCGATACATGGCTTATGTTTATATCCAAAAATGAAGCATTTGGGTTCAACTGGCTCAATATGTAATTTTAGGCACTAGTAAGCATGTATTCACAACAAACAAAGGCACATTTTTCTGATGCTGTGAATCATAGAGTGTATAGTGTGGAATCATGGGAGTTGTGGTCTCATTAGGTCCTACAGGAGTCCTGCAGAAATCATGTTGATGGATTAGCTAAAGCATTAAACACTTATTATGAAACAGAAAAGAGTAAGAAATAAGTGAAATAAGATCACGAAGCAGTTGCTGCTGAGAGCAATAGTATCCTGATGCTGCCTTGATGATGCAAGCTGAGACTGCATATCTCAGAGATGCAATGTCAGACACAATGCACTCAATACAGTGATGTGAGGGGTAGGGTTAGGGGTGGGGTTAGGTGAGCGCAATAAAATGATAGCATGCAGCTTAGCTTGCAACTGCAACAGGTCTGCATCCAGATCCCTCTCGCTGAGAGACTAGCTTAACGTTGCATGAACGTAGCGGGGCTTTAATTATGTAAATCTACAGCTTCCGGTTCTTCCAGTCATAATCATATGAGGAAGCAGCACTGATTTACCATATTAAATACATTTTAGGTTTTTGTTATAATATTGATTTGTGCAGTCTAATAAAACACACAACATAGTAAATCGATCTTTGACGCTTCCATGATTTCTTTAAAAGGGTGCATGACATCATCAGACACAAGACATGCTCTGTTGCTGCATCTAAAATCGCATACTTCCATACTATGTAATAAAATCAGTATATCAACCGAGTAGTATGTCCGAATTCACAGAATTCGAACAACAGTATTTAAGCTGAACCCAGATGATCTGCTACTTCCGGCGAGATTCTGAAGTGCACATCAGATGGACACTATGCTGAATTCATGAATGGGAATGTATCGACGCAACTAACGTGGGTATAGGTCATGTTATGATGACAAAATGGCTGATTTATTGTGTCCGTGTTCTATCCATACAGTACCTTTAAATTTAAATGCAGTACCTACCTACTGCGCAGTAGGCAATTTCGGAAGAAGCCTGACCCTACTAAAACTGTTTTTATTTATCTGGATATTAACATTCTTTAAACATTTAAGATAATGCAAACATAAGTACATAAATCAGTAAAATATATAGCACCATTTTTTTTTTTTTGATGTTTTCATGAAAACCATATTGTGCTTTATGTTTCGGTTAACAAAGTTTAAGATTGGCTTATTTGCTGTATTTTGAATGTAGTCTCATGCTAGTTTGCTACTATTTTATTTTTGTGGCCGATTTGTATGATCTAATTGTTAAGCTTAAAACAGTTCTATTATGCAAAAATTACTTTTATGAGGGGTTTAAACAAGAGGTTGTGTGGGATCAGTGTGTAAATATAGCCAGCCTCTAATAAAAAAATATATTTATAAATAGTATTTTGTATAATCACAGTTGATAAAAACTGTTGGCAGAAACATTTTGATTGACATTCTCCCTTTTTACATGTCATCATAGTGGGAAAGCCCCGCCCATTAATGACAATCTTTTCCTCATTAGCATAGACAGCCCTGAGTGAGAAGCAGCCATTTGCCATTATATATATATATATATATATATATATATATATATATATATATATATATATATATATATATATATATATATTTCTCATCTCGCGTGCATGGACCTGCTGGGACAACACTGAAATGCATCATATCCGGTCGATCGCATACGTTCTAGTCGCAGGAGTTTAAATATTTCAACGGATCCGCAGCTCAATTCGGATCTAAATTTTCCACATACGGAGATGATCGGAACTTCACGCAGCTCCTGGACTACTCTCCATTGAAAATGAAAGACTTCCAGTTTGACGCTTGTCGTTTGTCGTGTGCAGTGGAAAGGAGGCTTTAGCACCATGCCTGCAGAAAATAATTTCAGCAACTAACAGGCATTATAAAAAACATAATAATGTTTCAGGATGCACAAATAAACACCAGAGTCTCCATAGACTGGTTTCTTCAGAGTCACTTCTTTGTTATTTTCAGTTTTTCACAGAGAAAACATTAGTCCTATTTTGAATCTGCTGCTATGCTGATGCACAAGTGTTTAAAGCCCCACCCTCTTTTGAAGAGAGCACAATCTCATTTGAATTTAAAGGGGCAGTAACAAAACAGCATGGTTTGGATCAAAACCTAAAAGCGTCAATTTCAAAGAGTTATACAAAATTATTTGTGTGGTTATTTAAGCTGCACTTTAACATACACACACTAGGGACATCAGAGACTTATTTTACTTCTTGTAAAAAGAGGCATAATAAGTCTCCTTTAATACAATTTGATCACATTCCCAACGGTTATGTTTTTAGGTGGGATGCCTTTAAAAAAAAAAAAAAAAAAAAACAGTACATATGAGTTTTAAAGAAATCAGGAGAGTGCACAACTCAGTTGGATTAAAACACTAAGTGTAAACGGAAATGTCCCTCTTATACTTGTGATCCAATCAGCCAAAACTCCAATCCAATTACCAGGTGTAATTCAATTAAATTCAATTCTCGTTTATTTCTATAGCGCTTTTACAGTGTAGATTGTGTCAAAGC